ACCACTGGTTCACTGGCCAAATGCTCACAACAACCAGAACTAGTCTGGGCTGAAGCTGGGAGCCAGGAACACAATTCAGGAGTCCCACATGGGTGCCAGGAATCCAATTACTTGAGCCATCACCACTTCCTCTGAGGAAGTGGAGTCTGCAGCGAGAACCAGGAACTGAACCCAAATATTCCAACACAGAATGCAGGCATCTTAACCACGAAGCTGAATGTTGGCTCCTGAGATTTTGTTTTTAAAACAGCAATAGTCTGAGAGGATTAAACAAACTTTTAGAAAGAGATAATGGCTGGGAGAAAACATCATCAGTTGTATGGGTTTCTACAATTATTGATAACTTACATGCTTCATTTTAACAAATAATAACAAAAATACAAAGCTGAAGAGATACTGGCCAGCAAGCTTACCTCTTGAATTCGTCTTGGCTGACTGTAACTCACTTTGTGTCTTGAGCAAGGTGTTCAACATCTCTGGGCCTGTTTGCTCAGCTTTCCCATATTTACTTAGGTCTTGCCTTGTTTCAAAATGCATTTGAACTGCCTTGTTATCCAGAAACGGTCATATATGTGAAAACCCTTTTGAAAAATGCAAACTATCTGAAGAATGTAAGCATAAAAACTTTTAATGCCACCTCATAATTCAACTGAAGTATTGTGTAACTGCTACTGTAATAGGGGTGCATTGTGTCTTTTTTTTAAAGATTTATTTTATTTATTTGAAAGACAGAGTTACAGAGAGAGAGACAGAGAGAGGTCTTTGAAGCACTGGTTAACTCTGCAGATGGCCGCAATGGGCCAGGAGCTTCTTCCAGGTCTCCCACGTGGGTGCAGGGGTCCCACATCTACTGCTTTCCCATGCCATAGCAGAGAGCTGGATTGGAAGAGGAGCGCCGGGACTAGAACTGGTGCCCATATGGAATGCCGGCGCTTCAGGCCAGGGCTTTAATCCACTGTGCTACAGCGCCATCCCCAAGAGGCGTGCATTGTGTCTTACAGTTTGCAACACTTTTTTCACTGATTCATTTGCTCCTAGTGTACTATGAGCTTGTAAAACCATACCAGGCTTCCAGCATAGCAGTAAAGAGTTTGGTTTCTGGAGGTAGCTTGCCTGAGTTTAAACCCTGCTCTTCCTTTCTTTGTTATGTGTGCTGCAAGAAGTTATAAAACATTTGTGAACAGGTCTGAACTTCAGGATCTCCTGTAGAATGGGGCCAGCAGCAGCTCTAGCACCTGGTGTGATAAAGACCTGATACACTTACACCATATAGAACAGCTGCAGGCTCACTCTAAGGACTCAATACATATTAGCTCTCTTTAAAATAAACATCAGCACCCCCATTTTAGAGATAAGCAAACAGAGGCTTAGCAAGATTAAATGACTTGTCATGCTTTTTTAAAAAATTTTTTTAGATTCATTTATTTGAAAGGCAGAGTTACAGAGAGAAGGAGAGACAGAGAGAGAGACCTTCCAGCTACTTGTTCACTCTGCAAATGGCCACAATAGATGGGGCTGGACCAGGCAGAAGCCAAGAGCCAGGAGCTTCCTTCAGGTCTCCCATTTGGAGGCAGGGGCCCAAGGACTCCAGCCGTCTTCTGCTGCTTTTCCAAGCACATAGTAGGGAACTGGATCAGAAGTGGAGCAGCTGGGACTCAAACCGGTGCCCACATGGGATGCTGGCACTGAAGGAGGCGATTTAACCATTGGAGCTACAGCACTGGCCCCAATTTGTCACAATTTCATACAGCAGAGGCCAGACTCAAATCCAAACCCTCTAGCTGTGCATTTGTCTTCTAGTCCATATAATAATCATTTGATTAATGTACAGCTTGATTCTTCTGCTAAGCACACTGTCCATGGTTTACCAGAATCTAAAATAGATATTAAAAAAGATGGGGGCTGGCACTGCAGCACTGGCATCCCGTATGAGCACCACTTCTGATCCAGCATCCCTGCTAATATGCCTAGGAAAACAGCAGAGGACAGTCCAAGTGCTTGCACACCTGTACCCATGTAAGGGACCCAAAAGAAGCTCCTGGCTCCTAGTTTAGGCATGGCCCAACCCCAGCTGTTGTGGCCATTTGGTGAGTGAACCAGTAAATGGAAGAGCTTGTATTCGTTCTCTCTCTCTCTCTCTCTCTCTCTCTCTCTCTCTCTCTCTCTCTCTTTCTCTCTGGAATTCTGACTTATAATAAATAAAACCTTTAAAAAAAAAAGAAGAAGAAAAGGATTGTTCCTCCTCCCTCCAGATAACTATAATCTCATTGTGGAAAACTAGACTTTTAAGAACTCCACAAATACAAAAACCAACTACAACAAAACCCACAACAGTGCTATTATCATTCATTAAGTAAGTCCTAGTTAAAAAAAAAAAAAAAAAGTAGGGCCGGTGCTGTGGCTCACTAGGCTAATCCTCCGCCTTGCAGTGCCGGCACACCGGGTTCTAGTCCTGATTGGGGTGCCAGATTCTGTCCTGGTTGCCCCTCTTCCAGGCCAGCTCTCTGCTGTGGCCAGGGAGTGCAGTGGAGGATGGCCCAAGTGCTCGGGCCCTGCACCCCATGGGAGACCAGGATAAGCACCTGGCTCCTGGTTTCGGATCAGCGCGGTGCACCAGCCGTGGCGGCCATTGGAGGGTGAACCAACGGCAAAGGAAGACCTTTCTCTCTGTCTCTCTCTCACTATCCAGAATGATATGTTCTTAGGAGCCAGAGCAATGAAAGGACGACACAGCACATCAGTTGCAGTCTGTGTTGCCAGAGAGGGCCCCTTTCTCCTGGGTTGAGGGTCGCAGGGCTTTTCTTCAACGACTTCATTAGCAGCAGCAGCCAAAGCGCACATGGCCCTCAGAGCAGATGGGGAAAGCTCTCTCTGACAAAATGTGGTCAGCATCTTTCCCGAGGGACTCTTCCTGCCCTCTATGTGCTGGGGCGCTCAGCCAGGAGCAGTGAAGGGGCACAGCCCTGGAGGAAACACGGCGACGTGAGTCAGGCTGCACTGGCCTGCTTTGTTATCGCTTGAGTCACAGGAATCTATAAATAAGCCTCAAAGTCAGAGAGAAATGAGTCTCTCTGCTGTTGTTTATGTAATGTTTTCACAAAAAGCATTTTCAATTCCTTTAAGTGTGGTCCCTTGTCACAATTTATCTTGGCCTGAGAAGAGGATTTAGGTGCTAATCCTTCAGTTATGACCAAAGCCAGAGATGATATAAAAATTAAATTTTCAACAGCCAACTTCACACACTCTTTGATCTCCTACCAAGAACATTAGGAAATCTATTGTATGTTCCCTCAAGATGAGGACCAAACCCAGAAAGACCAAGCTCCCTTTTGTAGAATGTTATTTATTTTCAGTTTTTCTTTGAAAAGCACAGAGACAGAAAGAGAAATGTTGCATTTGCTGGCCCACTCGCCAAATGCCTGCAATAGCCAGGGCTGTGCCAGGTCAAAGCCAGGAGCCTGGGATGCAATCTACCTTCCAGGATGCAGGAAGTGGAGGAGCTAGGACTGGAACCAGGCACTCCAATATGAGAAGCAGGCATCCCAAGCAGCAACTTAAACCCAGCACCAAACACCCACCCCTAGAGATTTTCTAAAGCAGAAATCCAAAGGGCCAGCTGAAATGGTTTCCATCACAGTATTTTCTTTAAGAGACCTCGGCCTGAAGGGAATTGTATTATGAGAAACTCAGAAGGGAAAACCTCCCCAGGTGGTGATCTCCATCAACCAATTCTCCGTACCGCGCCGGAACATGGTGCCATTTCCCCTGGAGAAAGCAAATTGGGGGGCCGGGGGGAAGTTCCAAGTTTCGAATTTTTCCTTCTAGGGCCCCACCTTTGCCCCCAAAAAACCAAGGCCGGGGCCCGGGGTCCCCCTGTCTACACTCTGATGTTTTGTTTTTTCCGCCAGGCCGAGTGGCCATTGAGAGAGAGAGGACAGAGGAGAAAGGTCTTCCTTTTGCCGTTGGTTCACCCTCCAATGGGCCCGCTGCGAGCCGGCGCGCTGCGGCCGGCGCACCGCGCTGATCCGATGGCAGGAGCCAGGAGCCAGGTGCTTTTCCTGGTCTCCCATGGGGTGCAGGGCCCAAGCACCTGGGCCATCCTCCACTGCACTCCTGGGCCACAGCAGAGGGCTGGCCTGGAAGAGGGGCAACCGGGACAGAATCCGGCGCCCCGACCGGGACTAGAACCCGGTGTGCCGGCGCCGCAAGGTGGAGGATTAGCCTAGTGAGCCGCGGCGCCGGCCGTCTTTGTTTTTCTTTAGGTGCATAGCTTCATCCTTGTTCCTTTCAACTCAGCCCTAAGAGTTGCTCTAAAATTAAACTAGCAAGTCCAAAAAGTGTGGGGACGTCCACAGTAACAGGGGCAGCCAGTCCCTGGTGCCCAGCTCATGGAGTGCCAAATGTCTTCACCAAGCGGTTTACTCATGGTAGAGGACAGCCTCAGAGTCCAGCAGGTGCCAGTGACAGGTGGTCAGCTTGCTTTGCACAGAGCCCCTGGTCTTGGACTTGAAGATCCTCCCTCTAACCTCATATTCTTTGAATATGTTTGTTTTTATGAGGAAGAAGCAATCCTAGAATGAAACATTCAAGACCAAACTAACTTTTTTTAAAGAAAGGCAATGATTGAGCCGGCGCCGTGGCTCAATAGGCTAATCCTCCACCTTGCGGCGCCGGCACACCGGGTTCTAGTCCCGGTCGGGGCGCCGGATTCTGTCCCGGTTGCCCCTCTTCCAGGCCAGCTCTCTGCTATGGCCAGGGAGTGCAGTGGAGGATGGCCCAGGTGCTTGGGCCCTGCACCCCATGGGAGACCAGGAAAAGCACCTGGATCCTGGCTCCTGCCATCGGATCAGCGCGGTGCGCCGGCTGCAGCGGCGGCCATTGGAGGGTGATCCAACGGCAAAGGAAGACCTTTCTCTCTCTGTCTCTCTCTCTCACTGTCCACTCTGCTTGTCAAAAAATAAATAAATAAATAAATAAATAAACCTTCAAAAAGTTTCACTTTCTCATATGCAGAAAGGGCAATGTAAACTCTCCTGGACACATAAAATAGAATTGTGAAATAAAGATTATTTTAAAGATTTATGTATTTGAAAGCAGAGTTACAGAGAGACAGAGAGAGGGGTTTTCCATACACTGGTTCACTCTCCAAATGGCTGCGAGGGCCAAGGATGGACCAGGCTGAAGCCAGGAGGCAGGAGCTTCTTTCAGGTCTCCCACATGGGTGGCAGGGGCCCAAGCACTTGGGCCATCTTTTGCAGATTTCCCAGGTGCGTTAGCAGGGAGCTGGATCAGAAGTAGAACAGCCAGGACACAAACCTGCACCCATATGGGACACTAGTGTTGCAGGAAGAGGTTTAACTCATTATACCACAACACAGGCCGCAAAATAAAGATTTTTGCATAAAGAACAATTATATTTAAAGAATACTCTGGAATTTTTCTGTGATTCTAAAATTGCTCCTAAAAATAAAGTTTATTCCCCAGCTGTTGCAAACATCTAGGGGGTGAACTAGCTGATGGAAGACTGATCTCTTTCTCTAACCTTTCGAATACATAAATTAAAAAAAAAAAACTGTTAAAAAATAAAAACAGACAAAAACTAGTTACACAAGAAACCAAAAAAAGAGATTTATTTGGACATCTTGTTCTCTTAGCCTTTACTTTATACAGTCTCATGGAATCATTATTTAGTTCAGTGAACACAGCAAATAACAAAAACTGAAAAGGAAACTAATATTTATTTAGTATCTAATGAATGCTAGAGACTTTTACCTAAATCATTTCTTTTCCTCCTTACTACTGTCTCTATTTTTCAGTTGAGAAAAAGGAAGTGCACAACTAATAAGTGGCACATAAGAGTCCACTGATTTTCTGAAATCTCTTCTTTCACTCACTCTATGTGCATCCAGTATTTAAGATACTGATTTTTTAAAAATTTATTTATTTACTTAAAAGCCAGAGTAAGAGAAAGAGAGAGAGACCGAAAGAGGTATCTTCCATCTGCTGGTTCATTCCCCAAATGGCTTATAATAGGCAGGGCTATACCCGGCCAAAGTTAAGAGCCAGGAACTCCATACAGGTCTCCCACATGAGTGGCAGGGTCCCAGGTACCTGGGTCATTATTTACTGCTTTGCAAGTGCATAAGCAGAGGGCTGAATTGGAAGCTGAGGAAGGACTGGATTCCAGGCACTTGAATATGTGATGGAGGCATTCCAAGTGATGGCTTAACCAACCCACTGCACAACAATGCCCACCCAGCACTAATTTTTTTTTTTTTTTGCAAGACAGTTATTCTTTTAGCTTCTTAGGTCCCTCATACACATTTTTAAAAAATAAACCCTGTTCCTTTTTATTTTTTAAAGATATACTTTATTTATTTGAGAGTTAGAGTTAGAGAGAGGAGAGGCAGAGAGAGAGAGAGAGAGAGAGGTCTTCCATCTGCTGGTTCACTCCCCAATTCGCTGCAACGGCCAGGGTGAAGCTAATCCAAAGCCAGGAGCCAGGAACTTCCTCCAGGTCTTCCCACACAAGTGCAGCACTTGAGCCATCTTCCACTGCTTTCCCAGGCCATAGCAGAGAGCTGGATCAGAAGTGGGGAAACCGGTACTTGAACTGGCACCCACACGGGATGCTGGCACTGCAGGTGATGGCTTCACCTGCTACGCCACAGCGCTGCCACCCACCCCCCATACACATTTGACAGGAGGTATTATATATCAAAAGTACAGCTGGTAAATACAAAGGTATGGTTTAAGTTCACACCATTTTGCCTCCCTGGAAAAAGGATAATTACAAGAGAAATAAGGATCTGGGAGAAAACAAAAATTCACTGACTGCGATTAATAAGACTCTATGGGTGAAGGATCAAAGAATCTTCTCAAAATTAAAGAAAACTTGGGACAGGAGTAATTATATGTGTATGTACAGATACATACACACATACTATTCCAGTAGGCAGAGAACCATAGAATTTAAGAAATGGAAGGAATTGTGAATGAGAAAACTTCAGACCGACACACAGGGTCCATGTTAAAATTCACATCCAAGAGCCTGATTCCCAGGAATTATGTTGTTTTCTTCAGCATTTCAAGTCTTCGGTTAAGATCTTCAAAGTCAACCTCTTCAGAATCATAGGGGTCAATGAATAGGCTTGCTTGAAGTTTTACACCAGACAACTTAGGCAGCATGAACTTATCAAAACCAATCTGGGCTCCAGATTCTGGCTTATGAGAAGTTGGGGGGTTGAGTCCTGGGTCTATGAATTTCAACAAACATAATTAAAAGTCAATACAACTTCTGAACGAAACCCCAGCTCAAAGAAAATAGACTACTCTTGGCTTTTGAAACTGCAATACACACTATGACTATAAGGCTGCACAATATCCCCATCACACAAGTGGTAGTATTAGTCATATAGACCTTGTAAAAAAGATACAATTTTTCAAAACTTGTACCAGGATGACGGAGTATGGTAGTGGTTTTACAACTTGTTTGGTAAAAGACTTCTTTGCAATCTAGTGAAAGGAACAAAACATCTCCCTACAAAAACAAAATTTTGCCTACTACTTAAGAGGGTTCCTCGGTGGACCATAAGCTAAGAATCCCTGGCTTAATTCAAAGTTATTCACTTTATGGGGTCGGCGCTGTGGTGCAGCAGCTTAAAGTCCCGGCCTGAAGTGCAGGCATCCCTATGGGCGCCGGTTCTAGTCCCGGCTGCTCCACTTCTGATCCAGCTCTCTGCTATGGCCTGGGAAAGCAGAAGAAGATGGCCCAAGTCCTTGGACCCCTGCAACTGCGTGGGAGACCCAGAGGAAGCTCCTGGCTCCTGGCTTTGGATTGGCACAGCTCTGGCCGTTGTGGCCATCTGGGGAGTGAACTAGCAGATGGAAGACCTCTTTCTCTGTCTCTACCTCTCTCTGTAACTCGGTCTTTCCAATAAATAAAATAAATCTTTAAAAAAAAGTTATTCATGTATATTAAGATAATCGAAAATGAATCTTGATGTGAATGGAAGGGGAGAGGGAGTGGGAAAGGGGAGGGTTGTGGGTGGGAGGGACGGTATGGGGGGGAAGCCATAGTAATCCATTATTCGTACTTTGGAAACGTATATTCATTAAATAAAAGTTAAAAAAAAAATTAAAAAAAAAAAAGTTATTCATTTTAGAGACCTTAGCTCAGGAACTTGGTATATTTACATTAGACCAAATTCACAGTAGTGATGCCTCTAATAGGAGTAGCTTTATTCTCCAGCCAACCTTGATTTTCCAATTTTTGGAATCTCCTAAATATTGGGAAGTTCATTCCCCCTGAATTGTATCATGAATTTCAAAACATTATCCATATTCATATTGAAAGCTGTTATCCATTATACAAAAACACCACACTGTACCCCCTGGTAAGTCACTAAACATGCATCTCTTGTCCATTGGATATAGTCTTTTAACAATTCAAATTCCTTTAATGCATTTGAAGCAATTCCAATGTCTACCAGCATTCTCTATACTTACAAGGAGGCAGTGGAGAGAGGGAATCATCCTTCTTACCTTCATTATTCTGAAAGAAAAAAGATCACTGAGAAGTAATTGGCTTAAGTTCCAAATGCATGTTTTTCACATAGCAAGCCTGGAATAAATATTTCTTAAAATTAACTAGAAAATGGGGTTGGCACTGTGGTGCAGTAGGTTAATCCTCTGCCTGGGGCGCCGGCATCCCATACGGGCACTGGTTCGAGTTCCGGCTGTTCCACACTTCCTTCCAGCACTCTTCCTATCCAGCAGTGGTAGATGGCCCAAGTCCTTGGGCCCCTGCACCCAAGTGGGAGACCCAGAAGAAGCTTCTGGCTCCTGACTTCAGATTGGCTCAGCTCAGCCAATGTGGCCATTTGGGGAGTGAACCAGCAGATGGAAGACCTCTCTCTCTCTCTTTACTTCTCCCTGTAATTCTATTTTTCAAATAAATAAAATAAATCTTAAAATAAAAAAGAAAGATGTTCTGGCAGTTCCTGTATTCCCTTTCTGGATTCAGTTTTCTATCCATACTGACCTGTCTTTCAGGAGGAAAGGATGGCAAACAAGGAGATGGCCCAGGTAAAGGCCCCAGTGCAGATGCTGACGCCTCAAGTGGATCACCAGTTCCTGCTACAGTCCCACGTTCTTTGCCAAGGGCATCTTTCTCAACATCCTCAGTCAATCCAGTTCCATCCAGGTCTGCTGGGGCTTTAGCCTGAGGCAAGAGGATGAGAATTCCACTGGGATTCTGAATGTACTATACATTCTTTAGTGCATGTTTATTACATGCCTAACACTCTTAGAAGCACTGGAGAAGATATTAAACGCAGAGAGATGTGGATCCTGCCCTCATGATGTTTATAATCTCATCAATGGCGGTCAAAAGCAGACTTCCAGATTTCTAGAATGCAGCCCTCTTTCTCATCTCTCTTTCAATGACTTTAAGTATCTAGGAAGTCAGGCACTGCAATATACTAGTGGTTAAGAGCAAAACATGGGTACATATAGATATGCCTATGAGAAAGTTTAATAAAGCTTAGTAATAGTGTGCTCTGTATTTATTCATTCTTTTGACAAAATCTATTGCCCACCTGCTATGAGGGCACTTCAAAAAGTTCGTAGACAAACAAAATTAAATAGTAAGTTTATAGGGTAAGTGTTTAGCCTAGTGACTAAGATACCAGTCAAGACACCCATATCCCACATCAGAGTACTTGGCTTCAAAACTTGGTTCCTGCTCCTGACTCCAGCTTCCTGGTAATGTGGCTTCTGGGAGGCAGCAGTAGTGGTTCAAGTGACTAGATTCTTACCATCCATGAGGAAGACCCAGATTGAGTTGCTATCTCATACCTTCAGTCCCAGCACAGTTCTGGCTGATGTAGGCTTTTGAGGAATAAACCAGTGAATGGGATCTCTCTCTCTCTCTCTCTCTCTCTCTCTCTCTTTCTCTCTCTCTCTCTTTCTCTCTCACTGACTTTCCCTTGTCCCTGTCACTCTTCCTTTCAAATAATAAATAAACCTTAAAAATGGTAATGCACTGGCCGGCGCCGCGGCTCACTAGGCTAATCCTCCGCCTAGCAGCGCCGGCACACCAGGTTCTAGTCCCGGTCGGGGCGCCGGATTCTGTCCCGGTTGCCCCTCTTCCAGGCCAGCTCTCTGCTGTGGCCAGGGAGTGCAGTGGAGGATGGCCCAGGTGCTTGGGCACCCTGCACCCCATGGGAGACCAGGAGAAGCACCTGGCTCCTGGCTCCTGCCATCGGATCAGCGTGGTGCGCCGCCCGCAGCGCGCCGGCCGCGGCGGCCATTGGAGGGTGAACCAACGGCAAAAGGAAGACCTTTCTCTCTATCTCTCTCACTATCCACTCTGCCTGTCAAAAAATAAAAAAAAAATAAAATAATAAATAAAAAAAATGGTAATGCACTAAAAATACTATATAAAATTATCTTTGAGGAAGCCAGCATTGTGGCACAGTGGGCTAAGCTTGCCGCCTGTGCCACTGGCATCCCATTTGAGTGCAGGTTTAAGTCCTGGCTGCTCCACTTCTGATCCAGCTCCCTGCCCTGGTAATGTGCTTAGGAAGGCAGCAGAAGATGGCCCAAATGCTTGGGCTCCAGAACCAAAGTGGGAGACCCAGATGGAGTTCCAGGCTCCCAGCTTCAGCCTAGTTCAGCCCTGGCCATTGCAGACATTTGGGGAATGAAGTTGCAGGTGGAAGATCTCTCTCTCTCTCTCTCTCTGTAACTCTTACAAATAAATAAATAAATATTTAAAAGTAAATAAGTAAATTATCTTTGGGTTATGTGTATAAGTTATATATGGCATGTGAACAAAGTTTGGGTTCCATCCCCAATATATCTCATTATGCATATGCAAATATTCCAAAATCTAATATTAAGAACTAAAAAATATTTTACACACCCATGTATATAACATTTTCAATAGCTTTATTTTGTTTCTCTACTCTATTGTTAACTTACATAGATCTGTTGGGGAGAGTATGTGGGCAGAGAGAAAGTACAAATTCACCTGCTTTGCCGGCGCCGCGGCTCACTAGGCTAATCCTCCGCCTTGCAGTGCCGGCACACCAGGTTCTAGTCCCGGTCGGGGCGCCGGATTCTGTCCCGGTTGCCCCTCTTCCAGGCCAGCTCTCTGCTGTGGCCAGGGAGTGCAGTGGAGGATGGCCCAAGTGCTTGGGCCCTGCACCTGCATGGGCGACCAGGAGAAGTACCTGGCTCCTGCCATCGGATCAGCGCAGTGCGCCGGCTGCAGTGGCCATTGGAGGGTAAACCAACGGCAAAGGAAGACCTTTCTCTCTGTCTCTCTCTCTCACTGTCCACTCTGCCTGTCAAAAAAAATTTTTTTTTCACCTGCTTTACAGTAATTCCAAGATTTCTGTGGAAGCCACATCCCTAAGTAGAAAAAAAATCTTCCTATACACACTAAAAATCTCTGCCTGTCAGTCAGTTCTCCCCGCCTGAGGTACTCACCACAATGGCTGCCTTGTGTTTATAGGGCACATTGTAGTTCTTAGCAATTTCTGTCAAGTACTCTTCCACTAGAGTCGGGGGTAGAGTACTGAGATTTAATTTATACATCAGCTGCAAAATAAATGATAGAATTGGTCACACACACCCATACAAAATAAGAAATGAGTGTGGGGAATCTTTCAACTGAGATTCATTGTTCTTCATTTTTCTATTTCCTGATATCTACAATGTTTAAGTTTTTAAAATGTATAATTTATAACCAAGAAGGGCCGTGATTGAGAGTATGTAAGACAATTTTATCCTAGAGTTAAGAAACTTCACACCAAGTAGAATAAGAGGAAGACAATCAACATAGGAAAACGTATCTTGAATGAAGAATCCTGATCTTGTGATATGTATTTGAATTATGTCAGGGGTGGTATTCAATATGTTCCATGAACCAGCACAACATGGTACGAGCCAATCAGAGCAGACATCCTGAAAGACAAGAATGTCAACTAGCCGGAAACAGCTGTCATGAACAGGTCTCGGAGTTCCAGTGGAACTGGAATCTGTGTGGTCATGAGGTGACAGGTGCAGAAGCTGAAACTGCTAGGTTTCATTAGCTTCCATCTTATTAGTAAGTTATGTTTAAGAAGTTGTGCGCCGGCACCGCGGCTCACTAGGCTAATCCTCCGCCTTGCGGCGCTGGCACACCGGGTTCTAGTCCCAGTCTGGGCGCCGGATTCTGTCCCGGCTGCCCCTCTTCCAGGCCAGCTCTCTGCTATGGCCCGGGAGTGCAGTGGAGGATGGCCCAAGTGCTTGGGCCCTGCACTCCATGGGAGACCAGGAGAAGCACCTGGCTCCTGGCTTCGGATCAGCAGCGATGCGCTGGCCACAGCAGCCATTGGAGGGTGAACCAATGGCAAAAGGAAGACCTTTCTCTCTGTCTCTCTCTCTCTCACTGTCCACTCTGCCTGTAAAAAAAAAAAAAGAAGAAGAAGAAGAAGAAGTTGTGCACCTGTTTTGAAAAGTAATTAGCTCAGCTTTCTTGGCTTCACCTTTTTCATTCCTTAGTCCAAAACCTTTATATATGTTGCTTTGCCCCAGTGGAAAATTTATTTCTAAACATCTTTCAGCCTGCACAAAATTATTTTATGTTATGAATTTGCTTCACCCAATCTTCTAGGTTCAGAAAAACACGTATCTCCATAAATGGTATTACCTGAGAGTTGACAGTTCCGATCTCATTGGTTTGACATAGTTGGCCATACTGTTGGCTGTATTTTGCACACAGCTGATTGGAAACCTGCAGTGACCCATCATCAGGAAAGAAAAGCAAAATTCATCAAGTTGTGTCAAATTTGCTTAAGAGGAAGAATGGCTGAAAAAGCAAAAGTTACTCTCTTGTTACTTCATTGGAATTATGTTCTCTTAGGATCAAAACAACAATAACTACAAATGTTTTACTTAATTTGAAGTATATGACATATGTAAAACTTAAAACCTCTAATTCTATGCACTTTTAAATTAGGAAACTCCTCCCTCAAAGCCTTAAGTTTTGCTTTGTTTTAGTTAAGGCTTATTTATTTTTCTACCATTGACATTAAAATGATTCATTTTTCACTTAAAGGTTAACAAAAGAAAATACTTTTTTGGTATCCTTTAACAGATGAAGAGTCCTCAAGTAGCCTATAATTCTAGTCAAGTAACCTTCACCCAGCATCATGGCACAGACAGTTCAAACTGAGACCAGTGTTGTGTTGCAATTGATTAAACCACAGCTTGTGCCACTTGCATCCCATATCAGAGTTCCAGCTACTCCACTTCCAATCCAGCTTCCTGCTCATGTGCTTGGGAAAGCAGTGGAAGATGGCCCAAGTACCTGGGACCCTGCCACCCAGGTGGGAGGCCAGGATGGAGTTCCTGGCTCCTGGCTGTGGCCTGGCCCCGCCTTGGCTTTTGCAGCCACTTGGGGAGCAAAACAGTGTTTGGAAGATCTCTCTCTCTCTCTCTCTCTCTCTTCCTCTGTCACTCTGCCTTTCAAATACATACATAAATAAATCTTTACCAAAGGGGGAGGGGACTAGTCAAACTTACTATTTTTAACTCAGGCACTTCTGACTGAAGTCGAGGAGCTGCCCAGATTAGTGTAGAAACGGATTCGGCCAGACCGGGATCTAGTTGCCTGAGGAAAGCACACAATTATGAGACTAAGGGCTTTAATGCTTTGTTTTTTCTTTTCCCTATTTCAAAGGTAGGCCATGGGCAGTGCTAAATATTAAATAACAATTTTAAAAATTAAAATGGCATGTAAATCTATATGAAAATATATATTTAGATACATATGTATATATGTTTATACACACAGTTACTCATAGAAATTACTCATCTATATATATGTACATATATATGTGTGTATGTACACACACAGACACACACACACAGACACACACACGCTCTGAAAGGAAAGACACGACAATTCTTGTCTCCAGCCTAGGACATAAATCTCAAGGTTTTGCCCCTAGGAGATAGTAACACTACTGAACACACTTGCTGGCAGAGGACAAAGTCTGCGACAGAGTTGCTGGGAGATCTCCAGGGCCCAACTTGTTACAGTCTGTCTGATGATACTTGACTTTTGCCTTGCTTGTACAAGTTGGGGGAGGGGGCTGGGGGAGGGGGAAGAAAACCTGCTTAGAAGGTGTCTGAGAGGGGAATGTTTGGAATTTGCTGTGGAGACTATTTCCATTCAAGAGCCCTGGGGGCCCTTGGGCAACTTCTGGTGCTAGAGTCAACAGTCTGCAGGTTAATTACTCCCTGAAGGGTTTTGTGGAAAGATCGAGATCTCTCCCAAAACGCTGGTGTGTGAAGGACATGGGAGGTAGCCTCTCCACATTTTCTGCCTGACAGGTATGCAGCTGGTCTGGGAATCTGTGCTGCTGTAGGTGATCATACCACATATTTTTTATTTTACTTACTGATTTTTTAAGATTTGTTTATTTTATTTGAAAGGCAGAGTTAGAGCGAGGAAGAAGAAGAAAGAGAGAGAGAGGTCCTCCATCTGCTGGTTCACTCCCCGGATGGCCATAACGCAGGAGCTGTACCAATCTGAAACCAGGAGCCAGGAGCTTCTTTCAGATTTCCTACATGGGTACGGGGACCCAATCACTTGGGCCATCATCCTGGCTTTCCCAGGCCACAGCAGAGAGCTGGATCAGAAGGGGAGCAGCTGGGACTCAAACTGAAACTGTTTTGCTTATCAATATTTCCTGAAATTCATAAGCTGTTTGGGTTCTTGACACATATTCAGAGAAGAATTCTGAATACTGGCTCAACTGACCAGGCAACATGGTATGTTTTAAGGATTTTATTCAGTGAGAGAAATGCATAGGAGAGTGAGGGCTTTGTCTAATGGAAAAAGAAAAGTCTAGAGATTAAGTTGCAGTCCATACCAAGCAGAGAGCAGGCCAGGAGCCAGCCATGTGCAGAGAGCATGCAGGCTCCTGGAAGGCAGCAAGGGCAACAAAGGGCAATAATGGTAAAAAAAGGGGCTGGGCCCACCGTGTTCCAGGCCTTTTATCCACTTCCAAAAGGGTGTGGTTACGCAGTCTGATTGGCAAGTGGGCATATAGGTGGGATCAGGTAGGGGCGTGAGATCACACAGGAGCATGGTGAAGGTGTGGTTTTCCAGCCCACAAATCTAATCAATTTCATCCTATCTGCCTGCCTACATCAAAACTAGCAGTGATATGGGATGCCAGCACTGCAGGCAGCAGCTTAACCTGCTATGCCACAGTGCTGGCCCCATATAAGCTTTTTTAAAAACAATAATTAGGGGCCAGCGCTGTGGCTTAGTGGGTAAAGCTGCCTCCTGCAGTGCCAGCATCCCATATGGGCACTGGTTAGAGTCTCAGCTGCCCCACTTACAATCCAGTTCTCTGCTATGGCCTGGGAAAGCAGAAGATGGCCCAAGTCCTTGGGCCCCTGCACCCACGTGGGAGACCTGGAAGAAGCTCCTGGCTTCTGGCTTTGGATTGGCGCAACTCCAGCCGTTGCGGCCAATTGTGGAGTGAAGAAGTAGATGGAAGACCTATCTTTCTCTGTCTCCTTTCTTTCTCTCTCTGTGTAACTCTTTCAAGTAAAATAAATAAACCTTTAAAAAAATAAAAATTAATTGGGGCCAGCACTGTGGTGTGGTGGGTTGAGCTACCGCCTGTGGTGCTGGCATCCCATGTGGGTGCCGGTTTAAGTCCCAGCTTCTCCACTTCTGATCCAGCTCCCTCTTGGTGCACCTGGGAAAGCAGCAGAGGATGGCCCAAGTGCCTGGGCCCTTGCGCCCACGTGGGAGACACACACAATGCTCCTGCCTCTGGGCTTCCATCCGGCACAGCTCTGACCATTAAGGCCATTTGGGGAGTGAACCAGCAGATGCCTCTCTCTCTCATTCTCTCTTTCCTGCTTCTGCCTCTCCCTTTCAAATAAATATTTCAAATAACTATTTCTCCATTTCAAATAAATACATAAATCTTTTTTAAAATAAACACAAAATTTATTTTATCAATTAGAAAGGCAGAGAGACACAGAGAGAAATCTCTCATTCACTCCTATTCCCCTCAAATTCCTGCAATAGCCAGGGCTGGGCCAGACCTAAGTTGGGAGCCAAAATCTCAACCCAGGGATCCCATGGTGGGTGCAGGGACTCAAGTACTTGAACCATCATCTGCTATCTCCCAGAATGTGCATCAGCAGGAAGCTGGACTTGAACCTGGGCACTCTGATACAGGATACAGGTGTCCAAAGCAGCGGCTTAATCACTGTGCATAGCCTGTCCCCAAAACACTCATTTTTCTTCTACTGAAGGTGCATATGTTCAAAAAAAGGAATGCCTTTGAGTCTTTCTCCCAGACCTTTAGGACCTGATGTCAGTCAGGGGAGATCTCTTTCCTGCTTGGATATCTTGGAAACAGCTAAGAGGAAATCCCTACACGTCCTGACCAGAGATTTAGAGGAAGTAGGAGAGTTTTTTCAGAAGTTACAATATATATCAGGTCCAAAGAACAAAGAAATCCTGTCTGACTTTGAGCCCATAACACTTGCAGCTGGAGCAAGCACTTAGCCTAGCAGCTGAGATGCTGTTTAAGATGCCCAGCCACGCTCATCAGGGTAGCTGGGTTCAATGCCTGGCTCTGCCTCCTGCTTCCTGCTAATACAGACTTTGGGAAGCAGCTTTGATGGCTCAAGTACTTGGGTCTTTTTGAGCCTGTGAATTAAGGCACTCACTTCGTGGCGTGAATCAAGCTGAACCGCGCCAGCAGCAGGTCACAGTACAGCTCCAGGATCTCCATGGCCTCCACCAGGTAGTCTTCCCGGATTACGTGCTCCACGCGGATCCGGGCTCGCTCATCCTTCCCAGCAGCCAGGTAGTCAGCGATCTCCTTCCTTGCTTTCTGGGTCTGCTCGGCTGTAGCACAAAGCCCAAAGAGGAAAACGAATGCACCGAAGAGAGTTAAAGCAAGTTATATAACAGTGTGAAGCAATGTTTTTAGTAAAATATACATTTAAAATATGCACAAACTGCTGCGGCCGCCACCGCCGCCGCCGCCGCAGCAGCTGCAGCGCTGAGGTACTGGCGCGGATGCGCAGGCGAAAGTCCGGGTTGCCTGCTCAAAGCTGAAAGTTCCCTCGGAAGAACAGTCATCTCCCCAGCCCATCATGGCAGACGAAATTGATTTCACCACTGCAGACGCCGGGGCATCCAGCACTTACCCAGTGAAGTGCTCGGCCCTACGCAAAAACGGCTTCGTGGTGCTGAAGGGACGACCATGCAGAATAGTGGAGATGTCAACTTCCAAAACCGGAAGGCACGGCCATGCCAAGGTTCACCTTGTTGGAACTGATATTTTCACGGGCAAAAAATATGAAGATATTTGCCCTTCTACTCACAACATGGATGTTCCAAATATTAAGAGAAATGACTATCAACTGATATGCATTCAGGATGGTTACCTTTCCCTGCTGACAGAAACTGGTGAAGTTCGTGAGGATCTTAAACTGCCAGAAGGTGAACTAGGCAAAGAAATAGAAGGCAAATACAACGCAGGCGAAGATGTCCAGGTGTCTGTCATGTGTGCAATGAGTGAAGAATACGCTGTAGCCATAAAGCCGTGCAAATAAAGAGGGGGGACATCAGGCCTGAGCATACTGTTTAGGTCCGGGTCAGCTCCAGATCTAAAGTCTGATTCTAAGTTGTCACCAAAGCTATGGCCTTCATAAGCCACCTCATTTTTTTTTATTGTTTTCACATTGTGCTGGGTTAGTTTAGTAAGCAATTGGCAATTTAAGAAAATAATCAAGATGTATAATTCTTTATTCTTAACTTTGTAGGTGTCTTTCCTATAATGTTCCTGCGGTTTTCAGTTTGTGAATCCAAGAAACAGACAAGGTAGCTTCAGCAGATGTGATTTGTATGAGAAAATCATTTCTGCATTTTAGTTAATGAAAAATAAACCAGGGTTGTAAATCAATGTAACATATAGTGATATTACAATACCACATTAAGGTGAATTGCTTGGCATTAATTTCAGGCTTAATAGTAAAGAATCCATGTAAAAGTGAATTGAAATTATCACAATTTCAACCTCTGGCAAAAAAATCTTTAAGCAAAAACCATGTTATCAAAAAGTACAGGTATCTTGGTGGCCACGTGCAATCACATGTATTCACTCAGTCATACTGCTCTTTGCCAAATGGTTGGCAAATTTGAAATAACCTTATATGGTGGTTTTAGTACCTTCTTGTGGTTAACATGGGCATTAAATTGTTGGGTGAATACACAGGGATTTCATAAAGTTCATGGAAAATGGAATTAAAAGGTAAGCTTATTTTCCTGTAAAAAAATTTCAAATCAAAAGATCATGAAAAATATGTATTATGATAAAACTATGCATAGGATTTCAAAAATTTTTGCACCAGAACAGCCTTCCATTTTCCACAAACTTTTTGAAGTGTCCACTTACGAGCAAGTCAGACTGTAAAGAAGACAAAAAGGACAGTGGCAAAGGGGTTTGGTTAAAGCTGTAGGTTTTTATTTGAAGCCTTTGTAATCAGCATAGTAAAACAAAGTTGTTTTTAGTTATGGTTTTACTTTTAACTTTTGTAGCACCACCTGCAACCCTACAACAAAAGTGGTGACCCGTGTTTACAAGATACCGTACAGCACTTTCTTTTAACCTTGTTAATTAGAGTTGCCATTTATCAGCAAGTACTGCTTACCAACCACTTTTCATTAGATGTTTTAACATTAAAATATTTGTTAGTCAAAAAAAAAAATACACAATAAAGTTACGTCTTTTGTATCAGGTCAGTGCTTCTCAAAGCCCCATCCCCAGAGCAGCAACGTTAGCATTACCTGGGAACTTTTTAAAAATGTAAGTTTTTAAAACTTACACAGTGCTGTGGCATAGTGCATAAGGCCACTGCCTGCAGTGCCAGCATCCCATATGGGTGCCAGTTCAAGTTCCAGCTGCTCCTCTTCTGATCCAGCTCTCTGCTATGGCCTAGGAAAGCAGTGGAAGATGGCCCAAGTCCTTGAGCCCCTGCACCCACGTGGGAGACATGAAAGAAGCTCCTGACTCCTGGCTTCGAATCAGCGCAGCTCTAGCCGCTGTGGTCATTTGGGGAGTGAACCAGAGGATAGAAGCGCTCGCTCTCTCTCTCTCTCTCTCTCTCTCTCTCTCTCTTTCTGCTTCTGCCTCTCTGTAACTCTGCCTTTCAAATAAATAAATAAATCTTTTTTTAAAAAAATGCAAGTTCTTGGCCCAGAAGCACTGAATCAGAAGAACTCTGGAAGCAGAGCCCAGCAGCTGGCAGTGTAACAAGCCGGCCTTGGGATTCTGCCCTGTTGAAGGCTGACAACTCATTCTAGGGGGTTGGTTTGAGAGGTGATCTTTATCATCTCCTTTCAGCTTGCCTTAATTTCCTAAAGTATTCCATGATGAATACCCATTACTTTTGAAATTAGAAGATGAGTTATTTTCAGAAGGAGAATGCAGGGCCTGGTCTTGTGGTGTGGCAGGTTAAGCAGTTACTTGTGACGCCTGCAGCCCATACAAGCATCTGTTCGAGTGCTGGCTGCTCCACTTCTTTTTTTTTTTTTTAATATTTATTTTTATGTATTTGAAAGAGTTAAAGAGAGAGGTAGAGACAGAGAGAGGTCTTCTCACTCCCCAGATGGCCGCAATGGCTGGAGCTGCGCCTATCTGAAGCCAGGACCTTCTTCCGGGTCTCCCACATGGGTGCAGGGACCCAAGCACTTGGGCCATCCTCTATTGCCTTCCCAGGCCATAGCAGGGAGCTGAATCAGAAGAGGAGCAGCTAGAACTCGAACCGGTGCTCATATGGGATGCCGGCTCTTCAGGAAAGCAATTTAACCCGCTGTGCCACAACGCCAGCCCCTGCTCCACTTACAATCCAGCTCCCTGCTGATGTGCCTGGGAAAGCGGTGGCAGATGGCCCAAGTGCTTGGGTCCCTGCCTCCTATTTGGAAGATCTGGATGGAGTTCCAGGCTCCTGGCTGTGGTCTGGCCCAGTCATGCCCATTGCAGCCATTTGGGAAGTGAACCAGTGGATAAGAGAACTCTTTCTGTCTCTATGTCTCCCTATTCTCTCTCTCTCTTTCTCTCTGATTTTCAAAGAAATAAATTTTTTAACAAGGAGAATACATGTAGTGCTTTGCATTTTTTTTTAACAGGCAGAGTGAACAGTGAGAGAGAGAGACAGAGAGAAAGGTCTTCCTTTTCCATTGGTTCACCCCTCAATGGCCGCCATGGCCAGCGCACTGTGGCCAGCACACCACGCTGATCCGAAGGCAGGAGCCAGGTGCTTCTCCTGGTCTCCCATGCGGGTGCAGGGCCCAAGCACCTGGGCCATCCTCCACTGCATTCCTGGGCCACAGCAGAGAGCTGGACTGGAAGAGGAGAAACCGGGACAGGATCTGGTGCCCCACTGGGACTAGAACACAGGGTACTGGCGCCGCAGGATTAGCCTAGTGAGCTGTGGCCAGTGCTTTGCATTTTAAAAAATGTTTTCATATACAGAGTGCAATTTGATTGCAGTGACACCTGTGTGAGTTTGTATTGTTATTTGCATTTTACAACTGAGAGGATTACGTCTCTGAGGGGTTAAATAGCTTGCCCCTGGTTGAACTGGTACTCAGAGCCAAATATTCAGATTTCAAATTCTTACACTTTTAAAATAACCATACGAAGCTACAGAATGGAAAAGTAGTCATACTGGAGAAGTAAACGGATGTGGCCAGTCCCAAGCCAGTTATTGGGACAGGCAAAGTCTTTCCACCTTGTGTTACGACGTGATGAAGTGATCTCACAAGCCAGAAAACCTTCTGAGCCTCCCCCTTCTATAGTCTGCCCACCATACTCTAAAAGTGACGCTTACCCAGGCATTTGTAAAAAGAGGAAAATATTAATCTGGATAGTAACGTGTGTCATTGGATTGTCAGGACCCAATAAAAGAACATGTGGGCATGCAGTTTGGAATTTACAAGGGCTGTGTATATATCATCAATATCATTCTCATTAACAGCAACAATTTTGGGTCCCACTTTATGTGCCTAATATTCATTCATTTTTACTACTTCTTTGGTCTCTATTAAATAATGCCCTGATATCTGTGATATATCGCAAAAGAATTCCCAAAAATAAATTTAGAAGTTTTAGTAACAGCTTCATCCCTCTCACTGGATTATGGTGATGCGGTAGGATTATTGACTGAGCACTCAGAGAACTGCATTTAAAAACTTTTTAATTCATTAATTTTCATTTTGTTTGAAAGACAGAGAGAAACAGAGAGAGATCTTCCCTTCACTGGGTCACTTGATAGATGTCCACCACGGCCAGTGTAAGGCAAGGCCAAAGCCAGGAGCTCAGAATTCCATCTGAGTCTCCTTGGCAAGAACCCAGCCAAGCACCTGAGCCGGCGCTGTGGTGCAGAAGGTTCAGCCCCTGCCTGCAGTGCCAGCATCCCATATGGGCTCCACTTTGAGTCCTGGCTGCTCTACTTCTGATCCAGCTCCCTACTAATGCACCTGGGAAAGCAGCAGAAGACCCCGAAGCAGCTCCTGGCTCCTGGCTTCAGATCAGCCCAGCTCCAGCCATTGCGGCCATTTAGGGAGTAAACCAGTGCATGGAAGATCTCTGTCTCTCTCCTTCCCTCTGTATTTCTGCCTTTCAAATAAATAAAACAAAGCTAAAAAAAAAAAAAACACACAAACAAAAAACAAAAAAAAAACAAAAACAAACAAACAAACAAAAAAAAACCATGTGGTTGAGTGCTCACTTGCTGCCTGCCTGGATGCATTAACAGGAAGCTGGATCTGAAGCAAAGAAGCCTATACTCAGCCAGGCATCCCAGAATAGAACGTGGTGGCTAGGTGGCAACTTGATGACTGTGCCGGACCCTGCTCCAGAACTGCATTTTTGTGCAATACTTATTTCACCTGAACTTTTCTTCTAATCAGAGATCTTCAGTTTTTCGGTGTTTTAAGAATTAGCATCTTATGTGACCCACTACAGCGAGGACAAAGCAAAGACAATGCAAAGACAACAGAAAATAAGTTAGACTTCAAGAAAGAAGACAACACTTGTCAGTAGAACTCCCCCATTCATGGGTGTCAACTCTGCTTGAGCCGACCCCTGATATAAGGAATGACATTTTTTGTGTGTCTGAGAATAGTCAAAGAAGTTCTTCCAGAATTTGCCCGGAGGGCTCAAACTTAATAGCTACTGTCCATTTGCAAAGAATGACTAGAGAAACTTTTTCTGTCTTGGGAAAGAGAAGTCCAGTAATCTGGACGTGGTTTTACATTTCAAACCTTTGGAGACTTTAAAAAAAATAAACTTTATTTTTAGATAACTGAAGAGTCCCATGCAATCCACACAGCTTAAAAAATAAGACAGGTACCAAGAATCCTCTACCAGGTTTTTGTCAATGGCAACGTCTTGTTAAACAGGAGAGTATCACAACGAGGATGTTGACAATGATGTAGACAGGATATAGAACAGTCTTTGGAAAGCTTTGAAGTGAATTGGTCACAATAAACATTATTACCACATCCCTGCAAGTCAGAAACATTTCTTTAAATGCCAAAATTGCTAAGTGGGATCCTGGGAGACAGACAGCCTCAATGATAGCACTATGATCTGGGAGGCAGCTTGTGGTGTTGCCTGCAGTGTTTACTTACTTTTCTTTTTTTCCAAGACTTTTAAGCGATTGATAACCAGTTGCAAGTTAACCCGAAGGCGATCAGCTTTGAAGGCAGAGCTGAACATTATTTCACCAGAAGTCACAACAGCTCACAAATCACCTTGATGAAAGAGCTCCTCAGAGAAAGAGAAAATTATCAATATTATGAAAAGCTTCAGTTTTTCTACACCCACTTTATTGACCCAACAAGTCCTGTGTAGGGGTGGCCGTTTGGCACATAGTCCTCTAGTCCCATATCAGCTCCTCCTCTGCTTCTGATCCAGCTTCCTGCCAATGTGCACCCTGGGAGGCAGCAGCAAATACTAGAGTCCCTGCCACTCACATCGGAGACCCAGATTGAATTCCTGGCTGCTGGCTTCAACCTGGCCTAACCCTAGCTATTATAGACATTTGGGAGTGAACTAGTGCATGGAAGATCTCCATTTGTCTCTCTACTTTTCAAATAAAGATGAAAATAAATAAAAATTATAGGGAAAAAAAAGCCCTTTGTAAAGAATTTCTGGTATGGGGCCTACGCTGTGGCACAGTGGGTTAAAGCCCTGGCCTGAAGTGCAGGCATCCCATATGGGTGTCGGTTCTAGCCCCAGCTTCTCCTCTTCTGATCCAGCTCTCTGCTATGGCCTGGGAAAGCAGTAGAAGATGGCCCAAAGTTCTTGGGCCCCTGCACCCACATGGGAGACCCGGAAGAAGCTCCTGATTCCTGGCTTTGGATTGGCACAGCTCCAGCTGTTGCGGCCAATTGGGGAGTGAACCAGAGGGTGGAAGACCGCTCTCTCTGTCTCTATCTCTCTCTGTAAATCTGTCTTCAAATAAAAAAATCTTAAAAAAAAAAAAAAAAAAAGAATTTCTGGTCACTCAGCAATGGCATGAATGCACTTGCTTCTCTGTGGAACAATTCTGCAGACAGGTATGACGCTTGCAGTCCTAGTAAGGGCTGGGTTTATTCAGTTTATTCTAATCATCAGTGTTTTTACTTCAACCTCTGAGAGTTCTGCAGGAAGTTTCTAACAAACTGAAAGTTTCTGGCAAGTATCTGAGGAAGTAGACAAGAGAGGGAAATCCCCTACCCTGAAGGGCATACTACTATTAGTCACTTACAGAAAACCTGTAAGACTGCCCTCTAAATTTAAAAAAAAAAATGAATTTGAAAGGGAAATTCCCTTTATAATCTAGAGAGGTCACATGTTAAAACTATGTGGAAATGAGGAAACTGAACCATTCAGAGAAGTTGAACTTGAATCACTTCAAGTTCAAGTCTTGAAAATTGTGTATGTCTACATTTGGACATTTAGAAGCTGTTGAATAATAATATAATACCAGTCACCCATACATTTCTAGAGAAAGCTAAACTCAATAAATATTTCTATAACTTAAATGTATGTCCAAGATTAGTTGTTTCTGGCATTGGCACCCAAAGATAAAATTCCTTTCCAAAAATGACTCCTTTACATGCTGAAGTATATAAGCAGGAAGACGTAACTGTAGGGGGAAAAAAAACCGCCCACTCCTCCTGTCATGATAGACATGGTTTCCCACATACTAGCACTGACCTCTGGTTTGATTCCTAGTATGAAAGAGTTGGGATGGTTGTCTGTAACCCCCCTGACTGTCCTACAGGTGTAGAACAATCTCCTGGGAGGCCTTAGGCAAGACAGAGAGCTAGTTTGAAACTCCCGCCTGTTTAGGGAGAAGAACCTGTGTAGCAGGGTTCTGTCCTTGTTTATTTCCTTCTAACACAGTTGCTCATCAGAAGAATTCAATCTTCACACAGCTATGGGATTCAATGGGAAAACAGAGAAAGAGGAAATAGTGGAGAAGGCAAATGAAGCTTAACTTTGCAGTTCTCAAATGTCCCAGATAGCTTTAAAAATCCTCCTTTAGCTCAAAGTCTCACAACTCAGTGGAAATTTAAAAGCTCAGGGAAGAAAACGAAGAACTTTCAGATGAGAGAAATTGAAAACACCTTCTAAGAGGGTGAGACAGGTGAGCGGAGAGCAGAGGAAGAGGAGTAAAGGAATTCACAAGAAAGTCTCCCAGCTCAGGATTCCTTTGTGAAGACTATTCACCGATGTCATTCAACAACTATTTTTTGAACCAATTATCCTATTAAAGACTTGGGTCTACTTCAAATAAATGACTTAAATATTTGGAATCATCCAGATTCCAGAGAATAATGGAGAATAATGCACATCTTCAGAGAAATTAAGTAACTTTGGGTTATTTTAGTGTCATAAATCTAAAAACTACATAAGTTTACTTATCCCAAATGTTTCTGTCAGTCTGTTACTATGGGGGCTTCCTACCGTCAAGAATACGACCAAAGGAATGAGGATTGCTTGGAGTAAAGTGTTCCGGAGCAGGACACAGAGGAGATAGGACCCACCCTTTCGGACCTGCAGCACAAACCAGGAAATCACCTGTGTTTCACCAATCAGAACATCCGGTTTTTTAAACAGACACGCCTTGCCTTTGGCATCACGTCCTTATGGTAAAGGCTGGCAGCCAAAAGAGCATTTTTCGCTCGCATCTACCCGTGTCTGCTCTTTCAACTTTGTACAAAACAAAACAGCTGTCTGAGTGTGCATCTTGATCTGGGGAGAACTGGCTACTCTTGAATATTTGTGGAAGATGAGACAGCTTCTATTTTGGCAGTTCTAATGCCAGTTTAGTGAGCTAAGCACCAAACTAGAAACATGAATGCCGGTTGGCGTCAACACGGATTCACGGAGTGACTACCAGACTTCCTTCTTGGCCAAACTGAGAGAGGAAAGTGATTGTCATGAATAATATATTTTTATAAGATTTATTTTATTTGAAAGGCAATGTTACAGAGAGAGAGAGAGAGAGAAGGAGGAGAAGGAGGAGGAGGAGGAGGAGGAGGAGGAGGAGGAGGAGGAGGAGGAGGAGGAGGAGGAGGAGGAGGAGAGAGAAAGAGAAATCTTTTCCATTCACTGGGCTACTTCACAAATGGCCACAACAGCCATGATGGAGCCAGGCTGAAGCCAGGAGCCAGGAGCTTCTTCCGGTCTCCCACATAGGTACAGGGGCTCAAGCTGGGTGGGAAATAGAACATCCAGGACTCAGACTGCCAGCACTGCAGGCCTGGTCTTTAACCTGCTGAGCCACAGTGCAAGCCCCAGCACTAATATTAATATTCTTGAAGCAAAGCCCTCTGCTGATTTCTAGGACAGCAGGAGTTTCACTGTTTTACTCACTTGTGCTGAGTATATGTGTGCTGTCTGTGGTAGTGTCTAATAATTTTCATAATTCTTTGTGCCTATCCGTATATAAAATATACGTAAAATGTATATGTAAAATATATGTAAAATATGTAAAATATATATAAAATTGAAGCATAATGATTTCCTAAAATCTGAGATCCGTATTGTATTTGTATCTTACTAATTTTTAAATATCTAAGATATTATTCTTATAAAAATTCAAACAATAACTTAAGTTGTTTTTGAACGTCTTCCAATTTGGGATTTTTTTTTAATGAAGAAAGGATAACTAGTTATGTATCTTCCCCTCTTGTATATCTATTTATTTACATATACATAAATATATGCAACTCTTTTAACATTAAATAAATGATTCACAATATTGGCTTTTGTTTTCCCTTAACAAGATGATAAGTTCTTCTATCTAGATCTTACTCCTATTCTTTTTGCAGTAGTGGAAACTGAGGCTTAATGTGGTAAAAATGCAGATAGCCACATATTAGGGACCAGAAACTAGCCAGTACTTTTTTTTTCCCCAGCAGTATTTTGTTTGTTTAAACGTTTGTTTATTCTCATCTAGTTGAAAGGTAGAGCAACACAGAGATTGAGAGGGAGAGAGAGAGAGAGAGCGCTTCCATCTGTTAGTTCATTCCCTCAAATGCCCACAACAGCCAGTACTGGACCAGACCAAGGCCACGAGCCAGGAACTCCATCCAGGTCCCCCAAGTGGTTGGCTGGGGGCCTTGCACTTGAGCCACCACCTGCTGCTTCCTGGGATGCATTAGCTGAAAGTTGGGTCAGAAGCAACGCAGCCAGGAGCCAAACTGGAATTTTAATATGGGATGCAGGTGCCTGGGTCACAACGCCTGCCTCCGCCACTAATTATAAAATTGAACAAAGATTAATTGTTATCTATTGAACAGAGTTTGTCTCTCCAATAGTCAAAAATTTCTTAGTTCGTTTTCAGAAAATATTAATAGCTACTTAAAAAATTACAGCAGTAATCCAAACACAAATACAACCACTTTCGTTTTCATTTAAGTGATAGGCTCATGTTACTATGAAATCTACTACTTCGGAATGAATGGGAATCTAAGATTTCGTCGAGTAGTCAAACCTTCCCACTCAGTCAAGTTATTTCCCACTGTACTAACCCCATTCTTCTTACTCCTCACAAACGTTCAAGTCTGGGATCGCCTCGCTTTCCTGGACTGGGTCACTCAGGGATTCCCCGAGGTTCCCAAGGGGAGGCTTCACTAGGCAGGACCGAAAGTCCAGGAAATGGGGGTCACTGATGGCCACGCCCCAGTCGTTGTTTTTGGGAACCCCCCAGTATTTACTGGGGTGTAAAGATCGCGGGGTTATTGTGGGGTCAGGGAGTGGGGTCAGAGCACAGCCCTATTCACAGGTCCCAGGGGTTGGAATCTGTTTTCCCACCAGATGGGAGAGTAGCAGCGATGTGCGATTGAACAGCGGTACCCACCCCACCCTGCCGGGAGACCACTGCGTCGCTCTCTGGCCCGCGCCGTGACGTAATTTTTCTGCGCCGGGGGCGGGACGCGCTGACGCCATCTCCGGGCGCCCGGCTGGGGGGGGCGCTGGGTGTGGGGCGGCTCCGGGGCCGGGGATGGCGGCGGCCGCGGGTGCGGCGGCTCCGGGACGAGCGGGAGGAGCCCTGGGAGCGCTGTGAGATGGGCCGGTGAGTGTCGCCAGGAGTGGTGGCCGCCAGGCTGGCCTCCCTGAGGTCAGGCAGGCCTAGGTTCGGAGCTCCAGAGGAAGTGGCCCCTAGCAGCCCGTTGCCTCACCGGGCCGGGGCCGAGCACAGCGGACAGAGTTAGCGAAGAGGCCGCGCCTAGACCCCCGCCCGCTTCTCTACGGCACAGCCTGGAAGGCGGAGCCCCCCCGGCTGTACCTCCGCGGGCCAGAGTTGTCCGAGTCTGCGGGGCGGGAAGGGGGCCGCCAAACAAGGAAGCGTCGCCTGCGTGGCCTCGCCCCTGCAACCTTGCTTGAAGGGTCGACCTCCACTCTGTAAACGCAGAATTCCCGATCTGGTGCCCTACTCGTGTTGGAGCATGGATTGCGGGATCGCGGGAAGACATATCCCCTCGTTTCTTCCAAGCTTCTCCCATTCTGTCGGGCTCACCTCTTGCCCTCTGCGAATTCGGGACTCTGGCTGGGTTCAGCCTCTGGATTTCCAAAAAGCGTGATGAGGGGCTTCGTTCCCAGCTCTCCTAACTGCTTTGGCAGCCCTGCGGAACGGTCCTCCTTGCCCGGTAGCTCAGTCGGGGTGACAAGCTTGTCTTCCCCTTGAGAAATCCTTTGAGCCATCAGAGGCCAAGGTTTCAGATTCTGAAATGTGTCCTGCGTCGTGCAGCCCCGGCGCACAGACTTTTTATTTATCCTTCCCGCAAACCTTTTGCCTCTCATTTTTTAAAATTTGTGCTTGCTAACCCCTCGTGACCTAAAAGCAGGTTTTCTTGAACGTTTTAGTTGGAGAGAGCAAGGGTCATTCTGAGATTTAAAGATGTGACCCCAGTTTGTATGGGGAAAAGATGGGAAAAAGCGAAGTGCTCTTCAGTTACTGAAGCTGCCGGCAGAGAAGGGTGCATGACTTGTGCCCACGGTGTATTGTGGGATTGGGGATTTGGTTCTCTCCCATGGTTCCCCATCTTGCCACTCTTTTGTATGCCAGCGCCGTGCCAGTCTTTAGACAGAAATGTTGCCTTCCGTTTGGGTCGAGGCTTGCAGGGTTCTGTAGCAGCTGGACAGGACAGTGGGTAGTTTCTGAGAATTCATCTGTACTGCTTTCTCTGTTCCGCGGGCTTCAGTGCTGTACCTTTTCTGGCGAGTGTGCATTCACAGATGGGTAGCTCAGTGGTAGTTTTGTTTCCCCCTTGTTAGCTGCATGAGGATCAAGGTGATGTTTTCAGTTTCCATCACACCTGATTCATCACTTGGTGTAACGTTGTCACACAGAAAATTTACACACACACACACACGAGCCCATTTTTTAAAAATCTGAAAATTTGTTAATAAGGCTTTCCCCTTGAGTGACTCCCCCTTGACCTCTTTTTCTGCCCCAGAAACAAAATTCTTTTTCTACTGGTGCATCTTTTCTCAGTTAAATAACCATCAAATCTGTTTTTATAGATCCCGAGTAAAGGTAAAGTCCGTGGAATTGGTTTTCCTTGCTGCCCATTGTTAACATTGGAACAATGTTAAGTCTCCTGCGTTTAACTGAACTTTGGATTGGAAGTAAATTTAACCTTCGGATAGTAGGCACAAGCAGGGAATAAAGAATATAATGTTAAGGGAAAACAGTGAGGTTTGACAGATGGGCATTTTTTTCCCAGAGACGTCATTAGCGTTTATGAGATGGCCTTTTTTCTATTCAGCTGCCCTGGCTCTCTGGATAAATTGTTGCTACCTCTGGAGAAGAGGATGAGAGGAGAGCTCATTGTGACTTTCATGTCTTTGTGGCATTGGAATGACCTTTCAGTGATGACGCTGGAGAGGCTCAGAGGTCAGGCTTCTGCTTATTCCATCTCTCTTTCGTCTTCTAGGCTCCCAAGCCACCCGGGAGGACACTCATTACAGCTGCTCAGAAGCACCAGGGGGAGCTCAGGTAATCCAGGCACTTTGGATTCCTTGTTGCAGAAAAACATCTGGGATGCCACAATGGAAAAACAACAGAATGTAGTATCACAGAAAGCTCTTTTCAAAGCCAAAGAATGGGAGCCTGATTGGAATAATTAGGTGACAAAGTTCATGTGCATTGAAGTGTTCAGACCAAAAAGATGCTTTTGGATAGTGGATAGAAGCGTTTGTGAAAGGTGACAGTAAGAGGAAGGCAAGAGAACTTTGTTATGAAACCTATAGACCTAGGATAGAAAGAAACAGGCATATTTGGAGGAGTGGAACCAGAATTTTATGAAGTGGGCCCTAGAGCAGGTCTGCAATGGAAAAGGAGCCATTGGCAAAAGAGAACACAGAGGAACAAAGGGAGTGAATAAAGAAGGCAGATTGAAGGTGTTCAGTGAGAAGAAAATAATTTTTGTTAGACCAGGGGAAGGGAAGTCTATGTGAAGTCATAACAGTTTTGTTGCTACTTGGGGAGGAGGAGAAACAAGTTGTAGACTAAACTAGTATAATCACTCTTCCCATTTTGCCCAAGTTAGAATGCAGTATTTCATGGGGCAAAGAAGATACTATGTTTCATAGCATGTTTAGGGAGCAAGGCTTTGGAAAAAAAAAAAAAAAAGACAAGAAAACCTCAGGCCTTACTGACACCCAGGTCCTTGAGGACCTGGAGATATCAGGCAAAGGAGGACAAGAGGTGAGCCAGGCTTGGGTGGAAGAGATGGGAGTAGGTGAGGTCATCACCCAATTTAGACTGAGGAAAGGAAACAAGGATGAGGTCATATGTTCAGGGAAGGGAGATGGTATATTAGTCTTTAGTGAAAAAGGAGAAACTTAGGAGAAAGAGCCAGCAGCAAAGATGGTGTTCAAAACCCCCTTAAGAGACAAGACTGAAAAGAGGGTCCTGAGGAGAGGCATGACTGATCCTGAAGATGTTCATTTCTGGGGGTTGTGGAGCCACTGGGTTGT